ACAGTGGAGAATGTTTAAATTTGGCTAAATATGATACACCCATATTTCTTCCATCATGCACAGTTCACAGCCTGCAGCAGCCGTATGAGTCGGAGTCTGACAGTGATGACAGCATGATTAATGCTCAAAGTCATTCCCTCTCAAACACTAACTTCACTCACTCAGCCCTCATGGCATGCTTAAGAAAAACATAAATAAACTCCTCAGTGAGATAACTAAAGTTTGCATTGCTGCATAAGCAGAATCTATCAACATGATTGCAGAGAAAATGTATTTTTGGTTCATTATTAATATTTCAAATTATCTATCTATTCTGTATTTCTATTTTTTGCACTTCCTGCTTGAGCATGCAGCACTTTGTTATTGATTTTTACTGTTAGCACAGTATGTTTATAATGTACATACTTATTATGAAACATGGTTTCTCAGCAATCAGTTGTTTTTCATTAGTCAAATAACATTTTGCTTTTTTTATTAATAGGATTGAACTGAACTATACATTTCTGGATCTGACAAGATGACTTGATTATATTGAAGTAACATTTATTTATTCAAACTGCAATTTTAAGAAGGTTTCTTATTTTTAGATGTGAACTGGACCTGTGGACAGTTTGGTAATATATAAGTAAAGTAACTACAACACGCCCTGAATTGTCAAAGCCACTTAATCATTACATCTCTGAATGTTAAATTAAAATGTTCAATGAGATTTTTCATTTTCTGTTTTTGGGTTTTTAAGAACTGGCCAAGAATTAAACTAAACAAAGTTTTGGAGAATTGTATTCTCCTGGGGTCCATTTAACAAAGCAGGTTTAACAAACTCAGACTCAAATCCTGAACTCTGAATAGATCTAGCCTAAGGTTGGAAACTGTTTTTGGTTTCACAAAGACTGCTGTGAGTTAGTTTAATTAACTCTGAATAGGTGATTTCTGAGTTGAGCATGTGCGTAAAAATTATGCAGTTTCCCTTTAGAAAACGTAGTTTTCGGTAAACCTGCTTTGTCAAACAGACACCTGTATGAGTCGCTACATTACTCACTGACAAAAACCCAACAAGCATTTTATAATAATAATAATAATAATCTAAAAGTAGTAAATATTGAAAGTAGAACCTAGTTTAGGGCAAACAAATGAACTGGTATTTTTTCATAATTGAACATTTATTGATTTTATCCCAGAGAGGAAATGTAAAAAACTACAAATAATTGGCAAATTAAGAAAAATGTATAAGTACTTAAGAACTTAGGCGAAACTTTACTTTTTCATTCAAAGAGTAAATAAACCGAGCTTAGGATGAGTTGGAATAATTTTGCATCAATCACTTCTAATATGATGTGGTCCGAAAAATAGTAATGAGTTCTGTTACTTCCTGAAAAACAGTGGATACATAGCTTGGAAAAAGGCTGTACAGCCATATTCAATATATTACAATGTTAGCAAACAGTTATTTTATTTCACTAAGGACATTTTAATCGGATACACACATTTTTAAGCCTATATTGATTTAGGCTTAGTGCGTTGCTTATTCTAATTAATATAATCATTTATTTCCTGTCAATGCCACGTGTTTATCATATACTGTAGACTGTTTAATGTACAAAGCATTTAAAGATGTAAGGCAAGGCAATTTTATTTGTATAGCACAATTCGGTTCATGGGTAGTTCAAAGTGTTTTACATTGATTAGATAAAATAAAAAAAGAATAAAATGAATAAATTAATTAATTGGACCACAAAAAATCAGAACAAAAGCAAGTAAAATAAATAAATAAATAAATAAATAAATAAATAAATAAATAAATAAATAAATAAATAAGACTGAAAAATTTTAATTATTCGGTAAAGCTTTCTTCTAAAGTACATCAACAACCATGTAATAACATGGTAATAAAATAGCAAGTTACGCTATATTACTAGGTAAAAATGTAAGTGCTGTGCTTCAAATTTTAGGCACACAAGTGTCAAACTGTTACCAGGTAGCTCAGTCATTTCACCGACCACAATAAATTAATGTGTTATAGTTTATTAAAATACTGTTTATTACTTTGCATATAACAGAAAACCAAACCTAGAGTAAAGCAAGACAATCTTCTTTACTAAACTCGTATTTATATGTAACATTAGATCAGTTTTATAATGCTTTATTTACCTGATCATAAGTTACAATTTACTTTGTAAGCTGTTGGTAGGTGGTGGCTAATAATAGAAACTGTGATGTGGTAACCTGATGGTAATTACCCAACAAAAGTCTCCATTGTTAGATAGTAACAATCAATTGTAATAATTACAGTACATGCAGGTATTTACCTGCCCATATACCTTAATCTACTAACCTGTTACCAAGTAATACAATGCGACTTGCTATGTTATTACCATTTTATTACATGGTTATTGATGTACTGTAAAAAAAAAAAGCATGAGCAATAATTCATCTCAAGCTAAGACTCGTTTCACCAGAAATTCAATACGAAATTAATAAACTCTACTTTATAATAGGGATAATTTTACCTTCTATTAATTAATTTAGGATCAAGATATTTAAGAATGTGTGGGTAAAAAGAAATCCATAGAAAGCAATCAAGCATTTTTATACATGTGCAATAAAATTGGTCTATACATAACCAGTGTAGGGAAAAAAATTTTTAATATCAAGTCAATTTGGATATTCAAGCACAAGGAAACCAGATATTACCATTTCTTTTAATTCTGCAAAAATGAAAAAAAATTCCTCAGTCAAATCTTTCAGTCACTCGTACAGCAATCCAGCAAATGCCCAGTCTTCATCTGTAATTTCCACAATTAGTTTTCAGGAAACGAAATTTAACTCAGCCGACGACAAAATGAGCCTAAATCTGCCAGCAACCACTGAGGCATTAAAACACTTCTGCGGTCCATTCATCCTTCAACAGTTTCTGAGGGGATGCAGGGATGTGAAGGAGCTCCTTCTAAAAACTACCTTTGTTAAACTCACCATATTCATCAATCTTGGAGAGGCATCCATAAAGGAGCTTGTGTGGAAGAGGAAGAGGATGTCTGAATCCGGGGGCTGCCAGGGGCTGCCAGGGGCCAAGTGGTCAACCTGAGACAGAGGTATCGCAGGTTGGCATGACAAGTCTATGCCAGTCTCTGCCAAGACAAGCTATCAGCCCGCATAGACAAATCTCCTGACAAGTGGTTTCAGTGTGTGAAAAAGTAAACCCAGACTGCCAAGTCTAACAGGAAAGCTTCATGGAATCTATTAAAACTCTGCTTTTGTGTTTATCATGCTTCACTTGGAAATTGATGTGATTGTGATATATGAAATCTCATCAAAAGTAAAAATCAAGCATCAATGACACAAGTTTTACGAGCATCCAAAGTTCACACATGGAAACGTTTTTCTTTATGGGAAATGTTTTGATTGTGTTATAAAAACCCTGTCAGTAATAATTACTTGTTGATATTTGGACATGATTTCTCAACGAGTCTGTGTTGTATGCTCTATGATCAGTCATTGTTCATTACACCGTGTGTATTTATAAACTTTGATCTTCCTTATATTCTGTAATGTTTGGCCACAAATTAAAGTTTTTTGTGATATATTACTTATCCAGCATAAACTACAGAACCGTTGGGAAGTGGAAAGAGATGTATATATGGCTGTTTAAAAAATTCAAATAAAAGAAAAGCAATGTACATTTGTTTTCAATAAATCAGTGCATGACATTTTTTATTGTCACTGAATCCCCCCAAAGCTACATGTGCTTTGTTTAATTAATCTTAAACTTTAGTTAGTTTTACATATATATATATATATATATATATATATATATATATATATNATATATATATATATATATATATATATATATATATATATATATATATATATATATATATATATATATATAAATGGTTTCATAATTTTTTTCAGTGTGTGTTCAAACCCTGAGATATGTTTTTATAACCTTACCTTTTCAAATTCTTTAAACATTTTTCTTCCAGACCTGCTGTTTTCTTACTCATGTTCTCCAAAGCAAAAAATCTCTGAGACCTTCACGGGGAAGATATATTTTTATTTAGGTTAAAATGCGTTTGTGGGTGAAGGCGGCTAAATAGAAGATCCACAACAGTTTCCAGTATTCTTCGTTGTTCGGGTTACATCAAATCTATGGTACAACTTATGCATGTGTTGCATGTAGGAAAACGGCCATTCAATCCCAATAAAGTTAAGTGAAAAGTTTGGTCATATTCAGAATTCAAACTTCTGAAAGTATTTCAAATATGAAATTATTGCATACTTATCAATAAATGATAAATGTTTTTAATTAAGAGTAATTTAATTTGAATATGCTTTACTGGAGACATCCATGTTTGTTAAAGAGCACTACCGCCACCCACCGGTTTGTGATGTCACGGTGCTGTATCGGCTGTTGAGCAAGTCCCAATGCTGTATCTGGTGATTGTCACAATGTGCTATTATCCAAATAATTATTTTGGGAAATGTTGACTATATATTACGTGTTTTTTCTCTGGCAAGAAATTTGATGGCAAATCCTCCCTCTTCAAGTAAGCAATCCAATGACAAACCCGTCCATGGAGCATCATGAATCGGAAAGCTGAAATAACCAATTTATTGCTCACTTTTACCCAAGGAATTACAACGTCCAACTGCCATGCACATGGGGGTTGTGACTTTAACTATAGCTCTCAAGAATTTCAATTGTGAAGTCCTCCCGAAATCTAAAATATTTGATGTTGATTGCAGGTGTGTATAATAGTTCCCTTTGATTTTGCTTGTAAAGCGAGGAGGATGGCCTTTGGCTTACGGCACCGTGACATCACTGCCAGAAGATGTTAGGAGTGAGGTGTTACTATATTTCAGCAAAAATGTCCATTCCCGTACTCAGTGATCGTGACAAAAATTATAGTTTTTATTTTTTTACTGATTAACGCTAAATTGATTAAGTCACCGCAAACATATTATTTTTAGGTATAGATACTGTAATGATCCATTGATTATTTTTTTGCTGACTGGACTTTTCCCTTAGGCCTGTTGCTTTATCTTTAAGTGACTTGCTGTAAATGTCTTATAGAAAGAGCTTGTTGAAGCAAGCTGTACAGTAGGGCTTTCCTTTCTGCTCCTTGAAGATGCCTTGGTTGAGCTGCCGCAGACAAAAGGCACAAACAAAGTGCTCAGGATGAAATCTTCGATCGAGAGCCGAGACGCAGCGGCCAGTAATGGGCTCCCCACAGCCCCCACAAAGGGTCCCCTGCCGGGAGTGAAAGTGCAGGGAACAGAGAGGTCGACCATCCAGTTCCATGAAACAACCATCGGTAAACGGCTTCAGACAGTCCTAAATGTTCAAAATAAAAAAGTAAGTGTTACTAGAGGAATTAAAAGATTAGAAATGATGTTAAGCAAGCTGGAGGTGATACCCTATCTAAAAACAAAAGTCAAACCTGAGTTTTAAAAAAACATTTGCTCTGAAACATGAGAGTATTATATTTTATATTTTATCAACTCTACAGATCTGTGATTTAATATATGATTGTTATGGTTATTTATTATGGTTATTTAGTCTACTTTTTGTTTACATTCTGAATTTTTCTGCATACTTTGTACACTGGTCAAGAGATTCTGAAATCAAAACTGAAAAAATTAAAAGACAGCTTTCTTTAAAATACTGTGCTAATTAACCCATGGTATGTTTCCCATCCATTTAAAAACTTTGGGATCCTTTCGGAACATTTAATTAGTAAGCAAACAAATGTTTTCTGTTTTTATCCACTTCTGTAGACATATGAGAATTTATTTCACACTGTTTTTCCTTTATACGTGTACTTTAGATGTTTTATTTTTATTTATTTATTTCACAAGAGAAAGCAGCTTTCAATGAAAAAGATCTCTGCTGTATAATGAAATCTAACCAGTCTCTTGAGTTGAGAATGCCCTGTGCCACTAGCTATCGTGGGATGGAAATAACACTGAGAAAACCTTGTCTACAGCTGCGTCTTGCAAAAGAACCTCAGCCTTTTATGAGGATGTTGGGTGTAATGACTCATGCAAACTAAATATCTCAAACACAGGCAAATGTGCAGATCAAAAACTGAGAACAAGTAGTCAGCAGGATGTTTTGATACGATGGGGAACAGTCTCACTGCCCAAGGTCTCTTTCCAACAAACGCTAACACAGAAAATAACATGCATAAAGCTTTGAGCCTAAACATTTTTCTACTACTTGTTTGTATATCTTAGCAGAGACCTAGTACATATTTAATGAGATTCAAGATTTTAGTACTTTCACATTTTTTGTGGAACCCAGAATCTTATATCATTACTTATTAGACAGTAAACAGATGTTGTTGGGTTTGGTGGTGTAAGGAAAGTATAAAGTTACTTAAACACCCTTTAATTTACTTAAATGTTCAGTCTTTTTATGGCGTGCCCTTAAGATCTAGAATCCAATTAATCTTCATTTAATTTACTGATTCAAACTATGCTCAGAAAAATAAACAATGCTCAGAAACAGCAGTGTGAAAAAGAATTTGCCCACTTCCTGATTTTGCTTTTTTAACTTTTATAACTCTGAAGTATTTTAAAGCATCAAGCGCCTTCAAATATTAGTCAAAGACAATACAAGTAAACACAAAATGTTATTTTTAAATGAAGGATTTATTAAAGAAGAAAAAAGTCCAAAGCTTGTCAAATAGTGATTGCCCGCAAAGTGAATAACTGGTTGGGCCTCCACAACAATTGCAATCAAGTATTTAAGATACCTTGCCGTCTTCTTTTTTCACATTGTGGAGGAATTTTGACTAATCTTTTTAGAATTGTTGTCATTATATGGTTTTGAAACATGAAAGTCTGTTTTAAGGCAATACCAATGTCTTAGTTGGACTCAGGTCAGGAATTTCACTGGCCTTCATTTCTTTGTTATAAGGCCATCCAGAGGTGGACTTGATGATGTGCTTCAGATTTTTTTATATACTGCAGGTGATGAAGAAGCAAAACAACCCTTAAACCACCAACCTACCACCAACATATTTCACTGTTTGTATAATGTTTTGCTACAGGCCAGATCTAGTTGGACACAAAGCTTCTGAAAAGTTCAACTTTTGTCCCATCAGTTCACAGAACATTATTGCCAGAAGCCCTGGGGATCATCAAGATGTGTTCAGGAAAAAAAAAAAATCGATGAACCGTTTCTTTATTTTTGTTGTTGTTTTGCTCAGCAGTGTTCGTCCTGAAACTCTTGTCACGTGGCCATTTTTGCCCAGTCTGTGTCTTTAGGTGGAGGCCCAAACGCTGACCTTAACTGATGAAACTGAGGTCTGCAGTTCTCGGGATGTTGTTTGGGGGTCTTTTTTGGTCTCTTTGATTAATTGTGACTTTACTCTTCGGATAATGTTTTTCACCAATCAGTCGTGGATGATCTCTCATTGTGTCTCCCTGGAGATTCTAAGTTTTAAAATGGACTCTTTGCCCCTTTTGGCCCTTTTCAGGCTGATAGATCTCATTTACTTTTTTTCTCATTTGGGTCTCTGCATGATGTCAAGCTTTTGAGGATCTTTTAATAGTTTTTTTCATTTTGTCAGCATGTACTAACCTATACTTTGTGATTTCTTTACAACATATAGATGTGACAGTGTTAAGGCCTGATTTTTGCAGAAGAAAGCAAACTCAGTTAAGTTTAACTACAGTTAAGTTTTACCACAGCAGTCCAATTACTTTTTTCAATTTCATGATAAAGGCTTTTTCTATATATATATTAAAAAAAAGAATTTTGTGTTTTGTCTTTGACTAGTATTTAAATTAATCTGAAACACTCAAATGTGACAGACATGCAAATAAATAAATTTTAAAAAAATCTGTGTTTCATGTGCAAAAATGTAACCTGTTGTTCTCCCTACTTATAAAATAAAACATCTAGACATAGCTAATGTTTTAAAAGATACTTAATTGAAAATGTGAATGGTACAGTGAACCATAGGGGTGTCATCATAATCTTGGATAAAAATTATTCAGGTAAAACTATTTTTTTTATTTTTATTTTTTTATTTTTTAATTTTTTTTATTTTTTTAGAGTGTATACAAATGTAAACATTCAGTTTTAAATCATAGCATTTGGTTATTTTTCTAAAGGCCGCTAGATTGATTTTATTTTTCTGTATCACTGCATATCCAAGAACATGTCAGAATAAAAAAAAAATGACTTAATTAGAGTAAAGGTCTTTTGGCTCTTTCATGAATATTTATTTAGTCTTGTAGCAGATATATATATATATATATATATATATATATATATTTGTTTTTCTTTTGAATTGGTGTTATAAATGTCACTGTATGTGCTGTACAGTATACATTCACATTTATTATGTTTATGGACTTAGGTTGCTGTATGTTCTTGTTTGCAGAAATTTTGTTTCACAAGCTGGATTGATTAGATAGAGTAAAGAAAAATAAAAGGGCCTTTTTTTGTTTTAATAGATGAAGGAAATTCCCCTGAGTAGGCAAAAAGTGCAACTGCAAACTGAATCACCTCTGACCGGCTGCTGTGCACTGCAGTGGCTTTGAAGAGGATATAAAAGATACCCACAGAGAGAGAATATGGTTTCCTTGATTTATCTGCAACATTTCGACCTCAACATTTTCATCAGCATATGGTTTGCATCAGCTCTGTGGTCAAAACGATGCAAACAAAGCAAGTGTGTGGGTATCTTTCTCATTTATTCTCAAGGTTGTGTGTGAGCACGAGCTGTGTGTGTGGTCCGAGTTGGAGACTCACTGCGCAGACGAAGCACTCTGGATGCCAGGTGCCATTGGCTGCAGTCAGGTAGTTTTCTCTCACGGGCTCCCCGCAGCCTGAGCACTTGGGAGCAAAGAGGTGATAAAAGTCCTTGCAGCAGTACGGTTTGCCATCCTTTTCAAGGAAACCTTGATAGGTAGAGGATACGCTTAGATGTGTGCTAAACATTATTTTTGTTCTAATGTAAATACATTTGCAAACATCTCACCCTCTGGCCCAAACAGATCTCCACAGTGTGTGCAGAAGAAATGCTCCGGATGCCAAGTCTGGTCCAGAGCTGTCAGGATGTTCTGGTGAAAAAAGAAAATGCCAAAAGTATTACATCTCTATTTTACTTTCTTCAGGGATTAGTGGAGGTTGTCTCATCTCCTATATTTAAATGCGAAGAAACACAAAGAATGTGGACCTAGACCACATTAGGAGAATCACTGGAGATGCTGCATTAGTTTCTGATGAATGTCTTTGGTCTGCAGCATGAGGTAATCCCAGCCTGCAAAACCACCGGTATGGTTTTTCCTTTAATTTATTAGCATAACATATGGGTTAGGCCAAGAAAAAAAAAAAGCTACATACAACATGTCATCACGCAATCATCAAAATATGATTGTGCGGATTAATGGATGTTAAATCTGACTGGATGATTTGAATTATGAATCAGGGGGACTGTATGCGGGCGGTAGGGCAGGGTGAATAAATGCTGCATAAACTAACTCAATGCTATGCTTATGAATATGAAAATCAGTTTCTCTACATCTTTTCAATGTCTTTTAAACTAATTCTCGTTACACATGAGGAGGGAGCAGCATGAACAATTTTAAAAACAAGAGGAGGATTTTGACAAATGAGCAATAGATTGTACAAATGATGAAAAGGTCACATAGATGGCACTATAAGACATAAACATAGATTATTTGTCACATAAAGTAGATTGCAGGGTTAGTTTTTAAAGTATTTCCACAAAGATTAATATTTTTTGTTCTGCTATTTCTTATAATGGTACCTGTATTATTGGCCCTTTGCAATAGGCACAGCGTGGAGAAAAGAGCTGATGATAGTCTTTGTCACAGTAAGGTCGTCCCTCTCTTTCAAAGAAGCCTGTTGTGCTTAACTCCATCTTACATGCCACACATACAAAATGCTCAGGGTGCCACACTTCACCCAGCGCTGTGATCATCTAAAAGAAATAAGTTAAAATGAGTGAATATAGAATTGACCTTGAATCAAATTTGCATCCAAAGGTTCCTGTTGTACCTTTCCCACAATCCCTTTGTTGCATGCAGCACAGTGGCCTTTGGCAGTGGTGCGTACACCGATCTTCTCCAGGTCAGAACTCAGACCTCCGAGCAGGTCATCTATGGAATCTGTTTTGCTGTTCTGTTGTTTCTGAGTGCAGGGTTTTGAATCTGAACCTGCAAGGCCGCTGTCTTCCTTATGATCCAGTCTCCCACCCTCTTTTTTCATCTTTGCAGATTGTTTCTGTGCCAGAGGTGGTGGGATTGGTGGCGGTGAGTGGTTCTAAGAGAGTGATATAGAAAAGGAGAGATAATTATAATGGCTTAAAAAACAGAATATAAACAAGTTGTTACATCAAAGTTTGTTGGTTAATGTTGGCTCAATGCTGCCCTCTGCTGTTTAAATGTATTAATTTATTTTCATTTCCAGAGGCAGACCACTTGAATAGAAAACTGTCAAGGACCTGCATATTAAAACAAATCTATGAAAAAATGAAAATATAATTGCAGGACCTACAAAAGAACTGAATTTAAATAGATGGCTGTAGATGAGTCCAGCCTGAGAGTTAATTTTAAAATGAAATAAAGCATATAAAATGTAGAACCCTTAAGCTTAAGGAGTTAGTGGCAATGAGGTGACACCAGAATTAATCAAATTTTCAAAACATTATTTTGTTACAATGGTGAAAAAAAGTGAAAAATCAGCCTTTCCAAAATAATATATATTTTAAACAGGATGCCTAATGAATCGTTTTGTCCGTAATATTGTTTCACATGGAAACAGAAAATGTTTTAATGGTATTTCTTTGATTTAAACAACTGTGTTTAATACATAAAAATGTTTTTTTTTTTCCTATGACTGTATAGTTGCAATCAGAAATATCCAACCCCTTAAAACTTTAAAGAATTCACAATTTGGTGGCAACAGTATAGTCTGTTAAATTGCGTCATAAGTATTCTCACCTTATATGAGAATGTTTTTTATAGCTGTGAATTTTTAACAACCTAAAATGTTTTAGAAATATAATCAATCCTTTGAGTGACTAATGAGTTTGCTTCATTTTCTTTTTCTGTAAATCAGAGATAAGAGCAAGATGGGTTGGATTCAGGAGAAAGAACTGGAGTGTACACACAACTGGTGAGAGATAATTTATTCTCACCTGAAGGGGTTTGATTTAAAGGAGACGTCCAAAAATGTTTACATTCAAACAGACCTCACTGGGGGTTTTATGGCAAAGTGTAAAGCAGTTATGTGACTGATAGCGAGTAAAATCCCCAGATTTTATCAGAGGGCCTTTTTAATTTAGCTGAAAACCCCCTGTTTTGACAGCAGGACATCAAGAACTTAAAAATGTTGGACCAAATGCTTTCAGAGTAACCAATCCATGCCCTGAATAAACAAAGATTTAATGGCAAGACTCCATGGTACACTCCCATGTGAACCACAAAAAGGTAAACATGTGCCTGGAAGAATTTGGTAATAAAACTAAAATAAGAGTTTTAGGAGACAGTCCTTTTGACTGATTAATCAAACTTAAACTGTTTGAACATATAAACCAAAAATATCTCTAGCTAATAAAAAAAGTCAACTTAGAAAGAAAGCTTTCGTTGAGTCTAAGTTACAAAAAGTAAAACATGGAGGAGATTTAGGACATTTATGATGTGGGCCTGTAGTTTTGCAGCAGAAACTGCCAACTGTAGGCATCAGTAGTCTGTAGAAAGAACTGTTTCTGTTTCTCTGTTGAAAAAATAAATTGAGAGAAAAAACATCCAATAGATTTCATTGGACTTTTCAGAAAAGTAATCATCTCAAGTATTCATTTTCTTTCATCATCAGAATTAAAGTGTATTTTGAGGAAAAAGGGTAAATTAGTTTTGGTTGTAACTGAGCACAATCTGTTTTTTTTTTTCTACAGAAATCACTTTAGAATGTGAAATCTTAATAGGCACAAAAAATGAGTTACAATAATTTATAACAATTTTAGGAAACAATCTTTCCAACAGCTTCGTACTGACCCCTTCTGCTAAACCCATCAGATCTTCTAAGATGGAGTCCAACTCTTGAGTGGGAGAGTCAGGGGGCAGTGCAACTGCAACAGGAGTAGGGAGATCACTGTATACAAAACAAAAACAAATTAATAAAGAAATCAAACACATGCTAACACTTCCAAACCCTTTAAATTAGTTACAAAGTTTTTAAAAAATACAGTTTTATTTATTGCCCAGCATTTGTGCACTAAGCAAGATAAAGTAGGGAATTTTCTACGTATTTTTGAATACATTCTAGGATGTTTGATAGCAGTTTGAATTAGTAAATCAGGAAAAAAAGGAAGAATCTGAAGAAAGAGGAATGGCATAATCAAAAAGGAAAACAAATAAGTTATGGACATGAAAGGTAGAGCAAAACAGAAAGTAACGATTTTTATTTTATATTAACTTCTTCTTAAATTTCAGAATTATAAAGTGCGTTGTTTGGGATGGTTCAGTTGCTGTTGTTTTTTTTAATACCATGGTTATATCTGTGATACTTGTTTTTTGTAGGAATTGGAACCCAGTATTCTGTGATACAAGGACAGAATTTTCAGATGATGGACTTTCTTTCTTTGCTGACTGTTTGTTGCTCTAAAAATTGTATTGTTTCTTCAAATTATGTAATTGTGTTTATAGAGAAAACTTTAAATTGTGATTCATCACATCATGGGAATTGTTTTCTGACTCAGCAAACATGTGGTGTTATTGGGTCTTTATGGAATGAAGCCTTGGAGTGACAGACTGCTGCAGACCACGTGCATGAAGGAGGAGTTTCACAGATTATTTCAGCTTTTAGTCTTTGTAACCATCAGTTTTCAAGGTTGTTTACATCACTGCTGTTAGTTGCAAAGAAAAGAAATTTGTCTGTTGCCATTTTTTTATGCACAATTAAACATGCACATTTTGTAGACCCTTAAATCATCCTACTTAGTTTCACATTTCATTTAATCAAATTATGCAATTTTTTATATCTGTAGAGTATCTTCCTTCTTTTGTAAAAAGGATCATTCGATTTAATGCTTTATGTTTACTTTAAATAAAAGAGTCTCAACTTGTGAAAGATGGAAAACAATGAACTTGGTCTGTGAGCTTTTAGTGGTTTCCTTTTATGATCTTCTGATCTTATCCAAATGTTGTTTTGTTTTTTTGTTATTTGCATGTTTTCTGTTTTCTTCTGGGGATTTTTGTTAAGTTGGTTTCTAAAACACACAACTGTTTCACATCCTTTTGACATCCTTTTCTTGCTTTCTTCCCTCTGCCCACTCCTTATCCCTGCCTACTCTGCTTATTTATGATAATGTTATCCTGTAGGTTTGCTTCTCTGCTCCCTTGGTTTTGTTGCCAATATATTGTTTCAGCATTTTTCTGTTGTGTCAAACCTGCTTATCATCAACTAGGTTCTTTATCAGCATGTCATCAACTTCTTGAGCCCATTCAGATAAACATCACTGGGGTTTCTCCTTATTTTAGGTGACCAACTTTTGTTTTTTTTGTTTTTTTTAGACAAAACCTACAGGGACCAGACATATAGACCTTACCTGTAGACATTAGAACCAACTGAGCTTGACTCTTTTTTATTGAGTCCACAAAGGATGGCACCTGGCGCCTGCAATGACCACAAAGTTATGATGACATTCCTCTGAAACTGTTTTTTATTATTATTATTATTAGTATGTTTGTCGGTTTGAAAATTCACCTGTCCACCAGCTGCAATGCTTCCATGGTGTTCTTGGAGATTGTTAGAACCTGATGGGTTCAAAGCCAGCTCCTCCAACAGTAAATCTGCACAAGGATGGAAATCATTAGTAGCACATTCATCCAGTACAGTTTTCATGTTGCAGCTGCAGCATCTAGCAAAAGTATATCTTTTTTTGGCCCTCTTTTTTTGTTGTCGTTTTTTTTTTTTTTTATCTATTTTGTTAAATTTCAACTTTATTTTTTTTTTACATTTCTTGGTTATTTCAAGTGACAGATTTACATGTTTACTTTTATCTTTTGAATTAATAAAGGAGAAAATATCAATTTTGCTATTGATAGTAATTCCAGAACCTTGAACAGTAGGATTAAATCGATCAAACTTTGCATCAGACACTTCAGAAGATTTATATCAACCCTGAAAGACTGAACTCATTCAGTGTGTGAGATGTTGCTAAAGGTAGAAATAGGTTAATAGTTTATTATTGGAAGTTTAGAAGAAATGCATATATGCCATGGTAACATAAGCCTTAGCCAGATTTGTCCCATATTAGCATCTATATACCTGGGCTAAACATACCAAACCACCATGCGGCCGTGTGGTACACCAAGGTACATAGTGGCACCATTACCAGATTTGGCCCAGTTCTTTTTTTAAAATATCAGTTCCCATGCTAGTTTTGGCCAAGAACTATTCTGCTACGTGTGGTGTGGCGTCATTATCATGGTGTGGGGATGCTTTTTTAACTAGCCTGACGTAGTCCTACTCAATTCTAGTCAGAATATGAACTTCCCGACCTCAAACGTTGTGGGCGGGACTAAGTTCGGAATGGCACCCAGGCTACTTTTTAGCAGTAAGAAATGGAGAAACTAGTCTGAGTTGAGGGGAAAGGTAGATGACATACAGGAATAGACATTATCATAGCTATAACCTTTGTGAGCATGGATGGAGCTTCACATTCCAGCAGGACAATGACCCAAAGCATACTGCTGATCCAACAGTTGATCGGCTTGACGGGAAACATTTAGATATTTTGAGTATGCCTTGTCAAAGTTCAGACCTTAACCAAATTAAGCACCTGTGAGCACCTTTCACTCAAATCATACATCAAGGAGTTGGAGTCGGGGTTTTTTGCCTTATGTAGTGGGCATTAATTTGATCTTATATATTCATGACATTTATTTGTATTTTCTATGCAATTGGGTCTTGAAAAATTCAAGGACTTGCACATAAAATCTGTCTATCATTTCTAAACTCAAGTAGCCTTTTCACTAAATACTTATTTTACTTTTACTTGAGTAAAACAATGTTGAAGTATTGCTACTCTTAGTTGAGTACACATTTTGGGTACTCAACACATCTCTGGGATTGGGCAGAAACTTCAGCTGCAAAATGTGGCTAGGTGATAGAGACTTTCTGAAAGAAAGGTATCATTGCAAAAAAAATAAAATGGTGCTACAAAGTAGAGGGGACGCAGAGTTATGCTCATTGCCTTATTTAGAATAAACAAATGAATACATCTTCAAAGTTGTGGTGATGCTCTGTTAACAGTTAACTGGAGCAAACTTTAAAACAATCAGTTTAATTAATAATTCAAGGTCATGAAGAAGAAAAGTATAATAAATGAATGCTTCCATGGGCTAGTGTAAAAACATTCATGTTAATCAACAGAAGGTTGATTTGTGCAAAGCAAGGGATTTCCTGTGCATATCAAGGTGCAAGTTGGCTGAGGTTGTTTCATAAAAGTCAGCTTCCTGAGGAAATGAGAATATGTTACGTTGCAGAAGTGAAACTTGTCACAATGTCACAAGTATATGGTGACAAATGCCGAGGCGATTACTTGCCAGCGTTTTGTACTACATTATAAAAGGGAAACACATAGGAAATCAATCTAGCCTGTAAAATCAAAATTACACTGGTTCAGGTATAAAAGAGAAAAGGTTGTGGTTGATGAAAAGAAAATCAGGGGTTCATCTTAAGTACAAATAAATGTCTTAAATGTTGCTACTACATTGAAGCCATTGAATTAAGTGCAAATTTAAAGATGAACACATCAAATATCTCCGATCACTGTTTTTTCAAGCACAGTCAGCAAGATTCCTACACAGCAAAATTTTAGCGGCACAATAAAAGAACATAAATAAGCTGGTAAAATAAAAAGAATAAATACTTAAATATCTAACGCTTGCAGTAAATACTGAGCAGCAGAGATGTTGATCTCACTGAAGTCAGGTCTTCAAAAACTGTACCTTTAATGTGTTTTAATGTAATCATCAGAAAATCACCTTACCGAGCTCATCCATACTGGTTCCTGCTCTCAAATTTCGGGTGTGTGCTGTTGTTCTGCTGGCTTGTTACTGAGGTAACCAGCCTTGTTTCTCATCAGATACACACCACTACTTCCTGCAGGGACTTTTTTTTTTCTTAGCAAAAAAAAATGTATGAAATCTCTGTTATAAGATGAAAATTTCAGGTTTTATCTCTATTTTGCAAACAACTGTTGGTTAACTGCTGCTCATCATTTGTGGTCAGCTCCGAAATGTTTGGTATTTACCCAATGCTTGTTTTTCCTAGATGGTAAATGATTAAAACTATATGTTAGGGAATGCTTTTATTTTAACAATTAAATTTGCTTCATTAACATTTTTGAATAGCTAGCTATTTCTGTTATTCTTTTTTTTGAATACCAACACAAAAAATAAAACTGTCAAAAATTTAGTCTAGAAGTGATATAGAAGCATCTCCTTTGAGCTATTTTACCCACTAAAACAAACAGGACTTGACTATTCACACAACACGCAAACCACATTAAAGAAACCAAAGAAAATACTGATGTTTGTACTGATATAATAAAATATATATCCCATTTTTTTCTGTATCGTCAATGCTTCCTTCTTTGTTTGTTCACACACTTAAAAAAGTTTAAATCTGCTAATCTTACTATACTAAAAGCTCATACACCATCATACGGCTCTCCATTTCTAAAGGGTTATAAATAATTGCAAAACATTTAAGTTCTTCTGCAAAAAAAATTAATCACCTCAAGTCTACATATAGAAAGCAGTAATGGCCAAAGATAACTTGCAGATAGAATGATAACTTTTTTAAGTGTGGAAAATGTCACTAATGGTAGTAAAAGCATAGAAAATGTACAATTTGAAGTTTAGACGAAGCACCTGCATGCTACAGGAAACATAACCTCAGCCACATTTGGCCCCTTTTAGCATCTACTATACATATCTGGACAAGAGCTACTAAATCACCATCTGGCTACATGCGGTATGCCATTTTACAGATTGAGCCATAATTAACAGTCCTGGCCTTGTTCTTATTAAAATATCAGTTGCCATAAAATATTGCAATGATGAGATGAGTTATGTGATTGCCATATTATTTTTTATGATTAAGTAAATGATAACTTTTATTGTTTAGGTAATTCTGTAAAAATAGGACAAGCTTTCTAAAGCAGAAATCATTCGCTATTTTTATGGAGTTTACTGGTTAAAAATCGACCTGTAGGACCCCATTTACAGGTAATTAAATATATTTCTATTTAGTTCAGACATGTTAATTCATAATTCATGATTACTTTTGTCTTTTTTATCTGTAATGGCATCTTGCTTTAACTCTTTGTACCCTATATAATTCAATTCATTTCAGGTTATTTATATAGCGTCAATTCACAACACGTCATCTCAAGGCACTTTACAATTCAACCAGATCATACAGTCAAACTTTTTCAAAGTTTTCTATCTAAGGAAAACCAGTTAATTGCATCGACTTATTGATTCAAAGGCAATCCCTCACCCCAAGCATGCTTGTAGCGACAGTGGAGAGAAAAACTCAATTTTAACAGAAAGTAATCTCCAGCAGAACCAGGCTCAGTGTGAGCGGCTATTTGCCAAAGGCCGACTGGGGTTCAGGGAGACAGAAGCAGACCTACAGACAGAAGCAGAGATACAAAAGGCAACTCTCAAACAGCTCCACAGGCTTCCCCGTCCAGGAAATACACAGCCAGACAGACGAGCTACGAGCCAGCTCCCATGTTAGCCAAGGAAGAGAGCACATCTAACAAGGATCAGCCAGAGAAACAGGACCACTCAGAAAAACAGGCCCGAACATCTACAAACAAAGGTGTTAATGGCAGCAGCTCAGCTGATACTTCTCTCCAGGATGATGTCACAGCCAAACAGGAACAGACCAGATGAAGCTAGTATGAGAAAAAACAGAGAGAGCACAATTAGAGATTGAACTAACTAATTCTGCAGAGTGGGAGAATAGAGATAGACTGAAGAAGAATGATGACAAGGGGGTCCATATGTCCTCCAGCAGTCTAAGCCTATAGCAGAATAACTTTAGAGATAGCTCAGGATAACCTGAGCCACTCTAACTATAAGCTTTATCAATA